CAATGAAACAGTAGTTATCGCCTTGTCGTGTTTCTTATGCTCATATTTTGCATAACGGGTTTTACGTTAATGTTACGATTTGCGGTACTCTCATAACTCTTTTGTCATAGAAACAGAATTTCTTTTGGGGGGGGGGGATCAATACGCTATCCAGTCATCCATGAAAATTACTTGTTGTGGCCTAAGCTGAAAAACCATTACATGCAGTTCGGCTGTACATTTTACTTTCTTATTTCAGTTTACATAAGTACATGGATGTTACCTTATCACGACGGCTTCCTTTCTGAACAGAATTATAGACTTAAGATCATTTTGTTTTAATTCGTTTATCAAAAAAACATACATACAATATATGCAATGTAATGAACAATCCCTTACACAATAATTTAACTCAAAACTGATCATAATAATAAGTGATCATAATGATAACAACCATAATAATAATAACAATAATAACAATAACTCACAACTGATCATAATAATAGCTGATGATAATAATAACAATGATCATAATAATAACCAAGATAACAATATATCTTAACTGATCATAATAATAACTAATAAGAAGATCAATTATAACCGTACAGCTAAAAAGGACATTAGAATTAGTTATTCTTGTGGACCAGTATCATGCATAGCCATAATGCACTTTTAACTTTGTTGTTTTCGAGTATTCCTGTTAGTCTGTTAGAGCTGGATTAAGTGTAAATAAGGCCATGTTGATTTGATTATATGAATGACATCCGTGCATAATGTTTCGTCCGTTTAAAAAAACGTTTTCGACCATACTGTAAATCGTACAAAATGAGCGAACATTAAGTCGTATGTTGCAGAAGAAGTATTGGAAAATGAAGAATCTATCCTTTTTTCACCACATATGTGTTTTAAGTCCTTTATGACCACATAGGTTTCATGATAAAGGAAACGTTTTTGCCAAACGCACGCTCGCGTCAGTTTTGGGGTTAAAATCAAATCAACATGGCCTAATGATGTAATACTCTGTTAGAGTAAGGCAGCCCAGGCATGTTCGAGTTCGGGCGTGTGTCTGCACGATGGCCCCAGACTTTTTTTCGAACCCGAATCATGTTCCGCCATGTTTGATCTGACGTCATTCGAACAGAACGCGTGTTTGATTCGGGGTCATCGGCGGTCATTTGTATGTATCCCTGTAAACCCGAAGTCACCCATTTCATTCACGGAATATGACTTAAACGGCCTTACCTGCAGTTGAAAACAACATTATTGATCTTTAGAGTACTCAATTTTATTGTACGTAATATCGTTTTCTTACTTAATTTGTCCGAGACTATGTTGCATAAATTTTGATCTATACCAAAATGTGTATTTCGAATCCAAAATCAAGGAGTAGCAAAACTAAAGTACCCTGTATTCAATGTGTTTCAAGTACTACTAAAACTGTTTGAAGTTTCTTCGCGGTTTCTATAGAATACTACTTTCCCATAAGCCTGGTCCGCCTTAACCCAACGGAGTAGTCAAGTGCATTTAACGATACAACTTTATGAGTAGTTATCCTTACTTTTGTGTATTAATCCAGTAGCATGGTGAATAAAGCATAGTCGGTTGCATGGAAGGTAAGAGATGTTGCATAATACAATTCCTTCTACAAGCCCTTTACATTTACGAAGGCCCAAAACAATTTTCCTAACTCTGACATCTCAGATTTCTTGTAGTAATCTTTTTTTGTCTGATAGATCATTTCGCATAACCCCGTCCCCCTTCCCCAACCGTGAGGTTTATTATAAGTACCTTCGCCTAGAAGGTGATGTTTTCAGAGGTGTGTGCGTGTTTCATTTCATTTATTTTATTTTACCAGCAGAATACACTCAGGTTACATTTAAAAAACCTGTTTTTCAGGTAGTGCTGGGCATACAAGTACAAATACTGACAAACATTATACATAACAAGAAACGGACATAATCCAAAATGACATACAGTATAACAAAGGAACTCATTCATTTTCCACTATACATTCATAACATCACAATCCCTGACTGAATTGTACCAGCCCCACTGTCTGACGTTGCTTAAGTGACAAGTTATTCCACAGTTGGGGGCCGTAGAATCTTAAGCTCCCCTTGTAGCCGTTCAAACTTGCTACAGGGCAGTTCAACAGATAAGGGTCCCAGTCCGCAAACAGTTTGACAGCCGTGCGAGTTCGAGCTCTTATGATCGGTGGAGACTTCCACCTGAACATGTCAGAGATGTACAGTGGAGCTTTACCTCGCACAGCATTGAAAACTGAAACAAGACTGAGTTTTTCTGTTCGATGTCTCAGAGACACCGGTCCCTGCCTCCGCTAACAGTTTGTCAACACACGCGCGCACACGCACGTGTGTGTGTGCGTGTGTGTGCGCGCGCGCGTGTGTGTGTGTATGCGTGTGTGTGCGTGTGCGCGCGTGTGTGTGTGCGTGTGTGTGTGTGTGTGTGCGTGTGTGTGTGTGTGTGTGCGTGTGTGTGTGTGTGTGCCCGTCTGTAAACATGATAACTTGAGAAGGCTTATGTGGATTGTCTTGATATTTGTTAGGTCACGTCAACATCACAGCAAAGGCAAATAGCACATTGGGATTCTTGAGGCGTAATCTGAGGGGGGCTAACAAGGAGGTAAGGAAACGGGCATACACATCACTAGTCAGACCTAAATTAGAATATGCGGCAGTAGTCTGGGATCCATAGTTTCGACAACACGCTCAAAGCAGTACACTAGTAGACAAATTAGAGGCAGTTCAAAGACGGGGGGTTAGGTTTATATCCAGGGACTACAGACATACTACAAGCGCCACACATCTCCGCACTACACTCGGCCTACCGACACTTCAGCAACGCAGACAAATAGCCCGCTTAGCACTCTTGTACAAATCCATTCATAACATGATAGCTATACCCATACACAATTATATAACACTAAACACACGCTCCACTAGAGCCCACTCCCATCGTTTTGTGGTACTCCCAACCAAGACAGAGGTACACAGAGGTAGCTTTTTCCCAAGAACGGTGCCAGAATGGAATAACCTCCCACAACATTTAGTATCAGTGAATTCAAACGGGGGCTGGCTCAATATTTGGGCCTTCCCCCCACCCAGAGTTAGTTATGTACCTTCCCAAGTGTGGCCACTCACATTTTTCATTTTGTTGTTGTTGTTATCACTTTTTGCACTATTTTGTGGGATTAGCCCAAATCACAAGTTTGTCTTTTTGTCTCGTCTTTTTTCTTTTCTGTACGCACCACCAGCACCACCGGCCGCGCTTGGGTCTGCACCTCCCAGTCCCTGAGCATGATGTCCCTCGCGGGACCTTGGCTCAGTAATTATATAAGATAAGATAACTAAAGATAAGGTGGGAAGCCCCCCCCCCCAACGGCTTGTTAAGGCACTGCAGCTGAACTTCTGGTTTCGGTATCTCATTATTTAGACATGCTAGGGTCACGAAACTTGGATGGTAGATGGCTCTTGTGCTGAGAAAGAATTGACGAGAGTTTGGGCTCCCTAGTATCTTTTCTCGAACTACAGGCGTGTTGTTTTATAATATTCAAAAGACGATATAACTCAAGAACCCGGTGACGAATCGTCATGATCTTCAGTATGTAGATAGTTTACGTGATGCTTGACAAAATTATGTGACATATTTGAAAATATATCATTTGCAAAACTTATAAGGAAATTATATAAATCAGCTGCATTCAATAATAGGACTATTGAAGCTTGTGACATATGTAATTGGGAATGGAATGAGAGAAACACATGCAGATATTGATCATGTACATGAAGACGTAATTTGCATAATAAATTGCTAAGAAAATGTCATAATGTCATATGGTAACCGTCTGGAACTTCATACTTGTGGTTTTTGAAAGTTAAGTGAAGGTGAATATAATCAAACATAACGTATTCAAATCAGAACCTCATTTGCATGATTTATGAGGAAATGTTAGAATGGCATTTTTGTTAAGATAAGGCTCTTTTGGGGGAGAATATGACTAACTAATAAAATTCATGCAAATGAGGATCCTACTTGCACAATCAGGGGAATAATATATAAATTATTTTTTGTCGCTTATAAAGATTTAAAACGTCATTTGGCGAAGGTATGAGATCGTGGAACTCTAGTTGTACTCTCTTTCCTTCTGTCAAGGTACGTAATTCAATAAACAATGACCATAGAATCAAGTGCCTAGACCATGTGAGCATTACTTGGATAGCGTCAACTTCTGGGGCAGAATGTCTGTGTTGGAACCAAGCCGGATGTACGCACAGCAAAAGGCACACAGACCGTCAGTGACTCGACTTCCTGGGCTATATCAAGAATCTGTTGGCGGACACTGAGGGTGACTCACGGCCGGAAGACATTACTGACAGATCGTCTCGTGGAAACGACTAGTCGTCGACTACAGCGCAGCCGGACGATGTTGATGATGAATTCAATGACATATACGACTGCACACATTCATTATCTAGTACTTTCCACCCCCTCATGCTGACGCAACATCCTGATGACTCTTTAGCTTTTATCGACATCTTTGTATGTAATGGTTCAGGAAGCCAGGAACTACATAAAAATTGGCAAAAGCGGCTTCCCGAGTCGCCATGGCTAGACTTCAAGTTGACTGTCAGGGTTTATAAACAGGCCAGGATTTACGGGTACATGTTTCATTTTCTACATCAGATTCTGTAATTTCGATTCTTTTATAAAAACACGAATTCAGAGAGACGCTATGAAATATCTAGAATTTTGTATTTTTTTTGCCTTTCGCAACCTAAGGTTCTCAGAAATCTTCCACCCTTCCGGCTGGTTCAAGCCAAGGCCGTGCTAGTGAGACATTGCTCCATGGCACACCATTCAGATTTGATTTTTTTTTTTGCCAAAGGCCATGCAATTATATGTGGCATACGAATTAGGCAAAGATGTAGTACTTCTTTTATGTATCGGTTTTACGCGCTTTTCTATTTAAATTTGCGCTTCTTCGGTGTGTAGGATTGGTATAAACGTCCGGTGCCAGGTACCACAAAACACAAACGGAAGTGACCGTTTTGACAGTGACGTCAGCCGCACGGTATATAATGACGTTGTAATTTCTAAGCGGAATACTTCCTTCTGGGCATAGTTACAGTTGGCAGCGTTTTCTTTGCCTACAAGGAAGCATTTCGCACCATGGCGTCGCGTTTTCTCAGTCTTCTGGTGTTACTTGTTACGTTCGTGTCCCTGCGCTCTGCCCAGTCGTCAGACGAGACATGTGTGTGTAGCCCGGTGGTGTATTGTGGGAATGGCGACGCACTTCGAGCAGAGCTAGAGAAACTCAAAATCGCAGTGGAGCAACTTTCCCAGAGAAGGACGTGTGGGTCTGAAGGTACGTTTACTATGACATGTCATAAAAGTTTTTTTAA